TAAGTTCTAGCAGGACTTTTATTCTAAATTTACTATATTCAAGCATAGATGCATAGATACATTGAGGCTTTGTCCATACTATTTATGACTTTACATATTTTGCTATGAATTCCTGAATATTAGCCCTGGCTTCTCTGCTTCTTTTACCTGGCCTTCTGCAGCAGGTAAACTTTCTTTCTTATATCTCTGCATTTATGGGAGAGATGGCTTATTCCTATATGACCATGTCTTAGTTTTATGTTGAAGTTGAGCTGATTTGAAGCTCTTGAACTATACTGCTGACCCTTAATTTATAGGCATTTTGCTTTAACCTAACAATAAAAAGTCTGGTTAAATGTAATAAAAATGAACTGTTTCAATCCGATATGTTTCAAGTTTTGACAAAGTTATACACTTTGTACCACTGCCACAATGGAAATATAGAATATATCCTCTATTCCAAGAAGTTTCCTGTTTCTTAGCCCAGTAAGTTCCCCCTGGTCCTCCCACCCCTACATACCCCAGGTAACCAGTGATTTGATCTTTCTTACCACAGATTAATCTTTTCTAACAATTTGAGGTTTGAACAAGTTTGAGGATGAGTTTCTCCATTAGGGAGCTACCAAAGACTAGTGACATTAAGAATAGAGAAGAGACAGCAGATAGGGAAGAGAGAAAGCTGTGTCAATGGGCCTTGCACACATCAGCACTATCTTCTAGAGGGAAGGAATCACTTTGGTAATAATTAATTTTCAAAAAGCACTCTGTAGAGTATCATCCCAATTTTGTAAAACTAAACACCTAGGAGACACAATAGAATATTAAATAGTGTAAAATGAAAGTTGGAAGTAATCTATAAATACATAAATAGGAAAAATATATGTAGCACATCAGATGGTGGTAGATGGCAAGGAGGAAAAATAAATCAAAGAAGTAGAGTAGGAAGTTCAGGGAAGTGGAATAATAATTTAAATAGGATGATCAGAGAAGTCCTCACAGAGTAATTTGAATAAAGACCTGAAAGAAATGAAAAAAGTATGTGATCTCTAGGATAGGGATGGGGAGCATTCTAGAGAGATGGTATAGCAAGTGTAAAGTTCCTGAGATGCAATCCTTCTGCACATGCTCTAGATCAGTAAGGAAGGGAATTGGAAAGTGTCAGGACTTAAGGTCAGAGAGGTATAACCTTCTACCCTGTACAGTTAATAGAATAATCCATGGCATATTCATTTCATCATGATGGAGCTCCATGAATCATAATTTGTAATTAAAATGCATGAATGTCAGGCACTATAAACCATGACCAGCTCAAAACATCACTGGGCATGCAATAACAAGGTATCCTTCCTGAAAATTGTAGGAATGCCAACTGGCTGTATGCATACATGTGCAGGAGGACTTTTGCAGCATTGCCAAACATTGCCTGGCAGCCAGACTTCTTAGTAAAAAACTGAATTAGAGTCTTCTGTGAGCTCCAGATAAAAGCTAATTTTAGTTTATGACTAACAAATTTTTGTACCTCTTTATAACTCAGTTGGTTACCGCAAAAAAAAAATCAAAGCCTAAAATTTTGCGTTATTCACCTATAACAGCCAAAGAGAAAAAAAATCTTTTATATTTTGAATCCTTTTGTGGTTTCTCAAGAGGCCCCCCTGGGACAAAACATTTAGAAATACTTATGTAGGTGAGGGTGACTAGGGTAGGTGTGAGGAACAAAATGGGGTTTAGGCCAAAAAGAGTCTTGCATAATTCAGATATTTGAGAATAATGGAGTCTGGGGTATGTAGAAGAAAGAACAAGTGAGTAGAATTTAGGGGAAGTTAGTGTGTTTCTGTATGTCCATAGTGAGATAGACTCACTTTTGTGATCCTTCACTTTGGTGTTATTCTTAACCTATCTTCATAAAGCCCTAAGTAGGGTCTTTTACCCCCTTATCTCCCTCATATCTCTCAACTGCCACCTCCTCATCCCAACCCTCTCTCATCTAGGGTGGTATAAAAGCCTTTTAACTGGCCTTCCCCCCTCATCCACTTATGCCCTGTCTAATTCATTCTATTTAAAAATTTTAAATCATTTTAAGAAATTATTTTTAAGTAGTTGTGCAAAGGATTTCAATTCAAAAGACCTTTAATCCATTCTTTATACTGCATCAACAAGGTGTTGGGTGCAGGTGCAGTGTGGACAGCTCAGTCAGGCTGTATAACAAGACCTGGTCTTAACAAATAAAAATAAAAAAAATCTTTACCATCTGCCATCTCTCATTCAGTACTCTTCAATAGGAATAGGATAGTGCCCAAATGTTTAGATAATCCTTAGGAACCCATACAGGCTAAGGCCTCCTCAGATCTTTAAGCTTTGGATTGTTACCCCTCTTTCCCTATTATTATTATTGTATTTTCAGTGTATACTTTCCTATATTCATTTACTCCTGAGATTTTAGCCCAAATATTAATTAGTTCCCCACAACCTATTCTGATGCCTCTTGACCTGTTTTTGAAGACAGAGTTAGGTTGCTCCATTATATAGTCTCATGGTCCATCGCATTCATCATGGTTCGTAATTATTTACTTATTTATATATTTTTAAAATTATCATATGTCTCTCTGATAAAAGAGCCTGTGGATGTTTTTGCTTACATCTTTACCATCAGAAACTTTCAATGAGTGATTGATTGTTGAATGAATGGGGGAGAGTGTTGGAGAAAGTAGCACAGGATGCAGCTAAGGTGATGGGGTCTTCCAACACTGCTTCTGTGGAAACCAGGAAAGACTTCTGAGGGGAATCCTAGAATTTAAAGTATAACCAGAGGAAGAAGAGCCCAAAATGGAGACTACAAAAAGTAACTAGAGTTGGGTATTGGTGGCTCATGCCTGTAATTCTAGCTACTCAG